TGGTAGAGCTGTAACACTCCACACGGTCGTCCCAAAAACGGAACGAAATACATACTAGATGTACCTTTGAGGATAAAACTGTCCCATTGCCGGTTTTTTACTGAACGAGTAGCCTAAGGTCACAAAAGCTCAAGTTTTCGTTTCTCCTGTTGGAATGTGTAACCGTAAATTTCGGTTGCTGCAGATATTCGCCAGGCCCCTTTTTAAGTCTGTGTTGTTGAGAGCACGCCGACAAGATCTCTGCCAGTTTGACTATGTGAAGAACTCGACGGTACAAGCGGCGTGCACTCACGTTTACTGATGCCGTCACGGTTCCATCGGGTTAAACGCTCGGGGCTACTGGTATATTGCGAACCTTGAAATGAAACCGCTGTTTCCCTTAAAGACCAGGCAACCGCCGTGGAAATATGTGGTACCACGCAAATATCTTGTGAGCAAACACTCTTGACCGCAAACGCCGGAAAATAGAAAGCGCGCGTGCGGATGCTCACGTAGTTAACAACCGCGAGCACATTTCTCCCTCACCCTCGCCATATGTGTTCACACGCGGGACATGTGCTAATTGGGTATTTCTCCAGGTGAACGTGCGGTTGTGCACGCCCACACAGCGAGCTTTTGCACGGAAATGCGGACTGGATCAACGATGACGGCCGGGAGCGCCACGCTCAGCGGAAAGGTTTTACAAGCCAGAGATGTGTTCGGGGGGCGGCCTCCTAAAGCTATCTAGAAGTTGGGGCGCTGTCTCGTCTGATTTTGATCCAGTGCTGGTATTGAGTCAGTTCCCTTGGGAATACGTCAGTCCTCCATTCTATACCAACCGGCCGATAGACGACGGAGGGATCCATTGCCCTTCAAGGATGCTGCTCGAACCTTGGGCTGTTCCGCGGAGTGATAGGCTGCAGTGGTTGCAGACAGCGAGGTCTCTACATGTAGCTAGATATCATGCGGCTTGCGAAGGCGTTTACTCGCAGACGATGGCCCCGCGTAGAGCCAACCCCGAACTGGTCAATACTTGCGTCGGCATTGTTTGTGCTGAATCGAATGTTGAGTTGTACACTGCTTGGGAAGGAGGTTGTGCCGTTGTCCCCATGTGATGTTGGGAGGAGGGTTTCGTCTGTACGTGTAGTCTAAGGCCGCATCTCATGGAATATGACACGGTCTGGTACGTTTAGTTTAACTTTTCTTGATCACACAAGGATACATTCGAACTCTACTCAGCGCCATGGCACTTCCACTGTGAAACGTTTCGCAGTTGTATTGACAAACATGACGTCATGCACATGGGTCAAGTTCGTAATGTCGTGGGACGCCCCCCCCCCCCCCCCCCCCCCCCCCCCCCCCCCCCC